CTGACCTTGCATACCCTCTTAGCATTCTCGCACGCTATGTTGCTCCTGGGAGACACAGACCGGAGCACATGGCTGCAGCGAAGAGGGTGTTGCGCTACTTGTGCAGTACGTCGGGCATGGGGCTTGTGCTTGGAGGGCAGAGTCCAGTGGTCCTTACTGGGCACGCAGACGCTTCTTGGGCTGACGACCAGGCTACGCAGCGGTCGTCACAGGGTTACACCTTCAGCCTTGGTTCCGGCTCTGTTTCGTGGCGGGCTACTCGCTCGTCTTCTGTTCTCGGCTCCAGTTGTGAGGCTGAGATCTACGCAGGAGCCATGGCTGCACAGGAGCTTCGCTGGCTCACCTACCTGCTGACTGACCTCGGAGAGCCGCCTCGTTCTCCTCCAGTGCTGTACGTAGACAACAAGGCCATGCTGGCCTTGTGTCGGGAGCAGCGACTGGAGCACAGAACGAAGCACATTGCTCTCCGCTACTTTCTTGCTCGTGAGCTGCAGCAGCGTGGTCAGCTGCGTCTTGCGTACGTGGCCTCTGAGGCCAACACTGCTGATATCTTCACCAAGGCGCTTGCGCCTTGTGACCATCAGCGCTTCTGTACTCAGCTGGGCCTTGTGCCTACCTTGCCTCACTTGCTCACCTCTTGACCGTGCTTGTACTGTTACATATATATATACCTGCTCTTGCTTGTCTAGCCTTTTTACATATATGTACTCCTGCATGTGAACTGGCCTTGTGGCCTTGAACTTGTGCTCGGAATGTGTGGTGACTTTGTGATCCACCCTGAGCTTGCTTTGTTTTGCTTTACTTGACTGGTCTTGTGACCCCTTGTTCTCCCCCACTTTGCCTATGGGGGTGTGTCAGAATATTATAGCTCATGCATACTGTGTAGGCCATAGTGGGGTAGCCCAGAAGGGGTACAACCCAATTAGGGTTAGTACTTGTACCAAATTCATTCATAGTTCATTCACTCCTTGTTTCTTCTCACTCACCTCTTTCGGTCAGGCAGTCGACCCCCTCGCTCTCGAACCACTCCTGGTACAGTTGGCGGACTGCTTTGAATAAGCGGTTCACCGCGACGTCAAGAGGCTGGATCTCAGAGGTGCAGCCAGCTGGTATGACGGCGGGGACGATGTTTAGCTCCCTGAATTTCGCATTCACAGCATCAGTGAGGTGCCCGCGGTAGGAGTCAAGAACCAACATCACTTTCCTGCCGCGTACTCCGAACCTGGGGTTGACATACGGGTTCACCGTCCTGTCGAGCCACGCGAGGACGCTGTCAGCGTCCATCCAACCGTTGGGATGTACGGCGACTACAACATCTGCACATCCGAACAAGGCGTACGGACAGATTAGCATCAGACATAAAAAAAAAATATCACATGCAAATGACACCGTCACTGCACAAGCTGCTCGTCTTACCGGAGGGGAAATTCCCCTTAGGAATTGTCTTGCGCTTAAAGAAGACCCAAGGCTTGAGCTTCTCGCCGCTGTCGGTGCAGGCGAGCATCACCGTCACGCGTTCTTTTTTATTGCCGCCGCTGCGGATGGGCACGGAGCGGATCCCCACCTCCTCGACCGTGCGTTCAGCTGGCGTCTCGAGCCAGAGTGGCGTTTGATCGGCATTAATAATCCAGCGGTTGTCGATGCCGTACTGACGGCGGGAGTGTCGCACGAACTTCCAGAAATTCTGCACCTGTGTCTCACACTCTGCAAGGGAAGGGTGAGAGGGACAAACAAAAGAAGTAAATTAGAATTTCGAAGGTCGTAAGCAGCCATAAACGAGAGCGAGAGCACAAACACCGACTCACCAGACGATAGCTTCTGGCCGACTCTGGTCTTTGCTCGGGTAGTGAGGTTCCAGCGCTGTCGAAAACGCTCAGTCCACCTCTGAGATCCAGCCCACTTTACCTCAGGATGCAGGATCTTCATCACATCATGTGACCACTTCTGCAATCGGCCGACGGACACGGCGAGACACTTTTTCCGGTGGGCAAGAACACGTGAGTACACCTCGATCTCCATGTCGCGGTACCACGACGCCCGACCACGCCCGTGAAGGCGCTTGCGAGCCCCATGCGCACCTTCCAGCTCACCCTTCCGCGACTTCCACTCTGACAGGGACTTTCGGGAGATACCAGTGTCGCGGGACATTCTCCGCACACTCACAGCTCCGGACTCCAACTTTGCAATCCACTGCAGCTTCTCCTGGGAAGTGTAGGAGTTGCGCTTGTGCGTTGAAGGCTTGCTCCTGGGGGACGGGGGGCGGGCATCACGATTCTGTTTGGAGGGGTGGGGCCGTTTCTTATTCGGCGGGGGGAAACTAGGGACAGGCAGGTCCTCGAGAAGACCGTCGGCCGCCCACCACTCAACATCATCTTCAGCACCAGTGGCGGATTCGTCGTACGGGCAGTCTTCCGCGTCTCCCCAGCGTGGCGACAGACCGGGGCCGGGTTCATCGTCGCCGCTGCGCTCGGGCTTGGAGATGTACGCGTCGAAAGCTGAGTAACCGCGAGGGAGGATCTGTAGAACGGGCCGACTGTTGACGACGACGATAGGCGGAGCGGGAGGAGCAGGAGGTGCTGGAGGAGCAGGAGGCGCAGGAGGAGCAGGAGGAGTAGGAGGCACTGGAGGAGCAGGAGGCGCTGGGCGACTCTGCCACTGAGAGTAATCGCGAGTGTTGCCAACAACAGGTCGACGGCTAAATAGGAAGTGGGTGCCTGGAAGGCCCGCCATGGCCTAGGCAGGCCGAGGGAAAACAAGAAAACTGAAGAAAACGAAGAGAATGAGCCTCGTTTGAAACCCTCGCCGGAGACCCCTCCAACTTCGTGGCCCGGGTTCCTCTGCAGGGAAAGGGAGAAAACTGTCAAGATCCCCCCGCAGAGGAGCTGAGGTGGTGAGGTCAATGCCTCGGTGGAGTGGAATCTTGTCGGGGCTGCCAATTGCGTGGTTGTACAGAGTCATGCCTGGCACGGCATGCGACCCTGATTGGGCAGTCGCACCCTAAACTACGTGTGCGCTAGCATGGGCCAGATTCATGTTCGATGAATCTGGCCAGGCCAGCAAGGCGTGATGGGCGTGATTCCACGCCTTGTTGGCCATTTCACGCACTTTTAATGCACGGATACGAACGTTCTAGATGTGGATTGAATCCCCTTTTTAAAAAGCTTCAATTTCATGTTAAAACAATACATTTCATTTTTGCCATTTTATAAACGCCGGCGCTTATAAATTTCCTCGATTATAAGCGCACCCCCTAAAAAACAGTGTTTTTTTATACCCCCATGGGCGCTACTATCCGGGGGCTGACGGTATCACAAGTGATGAATGCCGTTTTTTTCTCGGTGGGGGTGAACATCCCTCCGTGTGCTTGAGCCGCTGTCTTTGTGAGTTTCGCAAGCACACAGTCTCGACTGCACCTAGATGCAACGCATACAAACACTCCATGATGACATGTGATCTGAATGCAACAGGGAGGGCTTTTCGAACCTTTGATGTTTTGGGAAACATTGCTTTGCAGAAAAATAAATGAGGACGACTCAACAGATGATGCGCACAACAAAACATGTCGTTTGCATACTCTAAACAGAGCACTTCCCTTGTCTAATTTTGACTGGGTCTGGTAAGCATATCCTTGTGCCCCTGTTTAGTCTATCGAGGCAGTCATAGCCATTAATTCTTTTGTAGCAGCTCTTTATGCCCTTAAAGAACCTGAACTGAATGGCACTGCACCTGTCATTATTCGTTACAATGTAGACCTCAGACAAGGGACATGAGCCGAATGACGTGTCCGTTCTCATATTAACACACACCTGCAACGCAACAGGAGGTCCAAGTGGGCACAGGTGAGAAGGAAATGCAATTGGCCTGAGACTGGAGAGAAACCCGAGGGATGTGCGCGATTGAGAAATACTATTAAGGGTAGGCTAACACAAAAATGAGCCACTGACAGGGCCTCAGATGTCAGGAATTTTACCCTGAATTCCTGAAGTTTGACCCTTGTTTTTTATTGCGACCCTGATGGATCAGCCTTTTTTTTTTAGCGACCCTGATGGATCAGTGTTTTATTTTGTAGAACACTGAATTTTCAGTGTTTTGTGTTTGCAGACACTGACGAGTCAGTGTTGTATCGGGGTTGACCCTGAAACCGAAACTCCGTGTTTCTCGCATATTGGCGCGCCGTCATCATTCATGTACACCCTTTTTCTCGATAGACTGGCTGGCATATGTTATACTGACAGAGACGCTTAGTGTAGCCACACCGGACCAAAGAAGGTCCTATCACATGCGTTACAGTGACAATTTGACCCAGGGCGTTTAGTCAAGGTTTTCTACGTTCTACAATGGTACTGTTGTTTTCAAAGCGGTCGGGACAGTTATTCAACGTTAATGCTTTTTAACGGCCCAAGGCGTGTTTCAAACCCTCGTGCGACTTTGCCCGCAACCGACTTATCTCACCAGCCCGCTACGTCCAAACACTGTAGCCAGTGCTTCCGCCGGTGAGAGAGGTGAGAAAGAGGGTGTACCCAACGAAGATCGACGCCACCCTGCGGCTCAATTTTGGGCAGTGTTTGCGCAAAGGCGCTATTTGATTGGATGTTCCAGGTGTTTCAATGCTTCGTTGACTCTGACTTCTGCCAACACTTGTCATTCTTGGCCTCGCTGCGCACAAATCCAGAGTGGACCAGTGGTGAATGGTGGCATCAGATCAGATTCACCACGCAAGGGCGTGGTTGTGCGGTTCGACCAGCCGACCCATGCCGCAGGGGGTCTCGTTCATTCATGCTCTCCACATCACGACCGGGCCTGCACCCCTTCTTTAATTATTCTATCAGTGTTTTTTGAAAAGGCACCCTGTGTGATCAGTGTTTTTTTTTTACTAACCCTGAAAAATCAGTGTTTCTAAGCAGGCAACACTGAAGATCAGTGTTACACCTCCAAGGGACCCTGAGTGCTCAGGGTACCCTAAAACGAATCTGAGGCCCTGGCCACTGATGCTCACCTGATCAGCTGGCCACACTACAACAATTTGGATCCTTTCCCTTCACTGCCACAGCCTTACCACTCCCCGAGGATATTGAGTTGTGATGCATCCCAAACGCCACGTTCTGTCAGATGCAAGGCCATCACACCCTGCCATACCTCACACCCCACCCCAACCCACCCCACCACACCTCCCACCCCACCCCTTGTACCTCGGAGCCTGGGAAGCCCGTGTCTTTAGACGGGGGCAGCAGGCGGTGGCAGAAGATGCCGGGGTTCATGCGGTACAGCTCCAGCGCACTCAGCGCCGGCTTCATCCCCGCCAGCACCGCCGCACACGTCGCGTTCCCCGCACTCTCCACCACCACAGCCTCCTCGCACATGGGCATGAGAGGCGTGGCTCGCTCCAGGCAGATGGATAGGCCGGTAGGGAGCGTGCTGGTGGTGGTGGTGGTTGTGCTGATGGTGGTTGTTGAGGTGGTGATGCTGCAGTCGAGGCCAGGGTTGAGGCGGAGGAGGTCCGTGGCGCAGGGCTGGGAGGGGTCTGGGCAGGAGGCGGTAAGAGAGAAGAGGGTAGCGATGGATTCACATGTGTCGTTCTGGTGGGGTGGACGGGGAGGTGGAGAGTTGGGAAAGGGATGAAAGGGAAGAAGGGGGAAAGGGGGGAACGGAGGAGGGGAGATGAAAAGGAAGGGTGAAAAGGTAGCGAGAAAAAGGGGTGGAGGTGGGGGAAAAGAAGGAATTGGATGAGGAAGGAAGGGGGGGACGGAGGGAGGACGTCAAAGAGAAAGGGGAGGATGGGAAAAGGGGAGGGTGGGAAGAGGGGAGGACGAGGGGAAAAAAGGAGGATGGGAAGAGGGGAGCAAGGGAGGAGGGGAGGAGGGAGAGGAGGGGAGGAGGGAAAAAATGGAGGATGGGAGGAGGGGAGGAGGGGAAAAAGGGAGGATGGGAGGAGGGGAGGAGGGCGCGAGGGAGGAGAAGCGGTGCAGGATGCGAGAAAGGCAGAAATTAGCATGTTCCCAGAACTCTCACAAGTGACCTGGGCAGACTCAAACCAGTGATGTAGACGACCTGTTAGCCAAGTCAACACCAACTAGGGGCGCCCACCTGGACAGTGGTGTAGAAGGCGGAGCAGGGCAGGCTGTCCGGGTTGGTCTTCACGCTCACCATCGTGCCCAGTGGCAAGGGTGCGTCGCACGCCAGCTCCTGCAGGGGTGGGTGGGCGGGTGGGTGGGGGAGGAGGGTTTTGACCATTCTCTAAACTAAGTCCAACATTCTCGAGAAATTTGTAAAGCATGACCATCGTGCCCAGGGGCAAGGCGCGTCGCACGCCAGCACCTGGTGGGGCGGGTGGGTGGGTGGGTGGGTGGGTGGGTAGGTGGGTGGGCTGGCCGGAGTGGGAAGGGTGGGGTATGGAGGGAAGATGAGCGCCGATGAGGGCAGTTGAGCGCCGATGAGGGCAGATGAGCGCCGATGAGCATGGGTGTGTGAAGAAGGTGGGAGGAGGGTTTGCACGTGCGTGCCTGGTCGAGCCATCTCCATCCCTTGCTATCCCATTCTACCCCTCTGTCTCTATCTCCACATCTCCATCTCTATGGCACTGCGTGCACATTCACCCAAACCCCACTCACGCGCAATCCCATCTGTTCCCACCCCCTTCAGCTCACCCCGTTTACCTCACCCCCTTCAGCTCACCCCGTTCAGCTCACCCCGTTCTGGTCTAGAAACTCGTCGAGTGTGAGGCCATAGATGGGGTGGATGTGGTAACACCACATCGTCTCCACTGTTACAATATAAAAGTCCTTGCTGACGCCTGGGTGGGTGATGTGGGTGGAGAGGGGGAGCGGCAGCGTGAGGCCATAGATGGGGTAGACGTGGTAACACCACATCGTGTCCACTCCACTGTCAGGGATTTTTTAAGAATTCTCAAAAATACCATGCAACACCACATCGTGTCCACTGCCACAAGAAGAAAGATCTCGCTGACGCCTGGGTGGGTGGTGAGGGGGGAAGTGGGAGGGCGAGAAAGGATGAAGGTGGTGGGAGGAGAGATAATTTCAACAGGTAACAGGCTCCCATCAGGCGACTGTTGGGGCGTTTCAACAAATGAAGCATGAGGCAGGGAGAATGGAACGGGATAAAGGGAGCAGGAAGCAGGAGCAGGGCAGGGCAGGGCAGGGCAGGGTTACCAGGGGCGCAGGAGGGGGCGCCGAATTCTGAGGTACCGAGGTAAAAGTAGGGTGGGCAAACACAGGTGTACGCGCCGTAGCCGTCATTCACACAGTTGCCCACAACGCACGGATTCCTGTCGCCCACACTGCACACATCTGTGTGCGCCCGCGGACACACACATGCACGCAAGCCCACCCGCCCACCCGCCCGGCCCCAAACCGCTCGCCCGCCCCCAAGCACGCACGCACGCACACACAGACACACACACACACACAGACACACACACACAGACACACACAGACACACACACACACACACACAGACACACACACACACACACACACACACACACACACACACACACAGATTGCATTGGCTTTGAGTTGGAGGACGCCGATAGAAGCATGCTGAGAATGATTCTCATGGACTCGTGCGCGACATCGCTCGGAGCTCTGCTAGCAAGAAGTCGCAAGACCTGAAATCAGGTTTGCCTCAAAAGACAGGGGTTCGTTTGACTTGACATCTATCGCAAAACCAGGTTCTTGCCCCCCTGTCCCCTGTTCCCTGTCCCCTGTCCGCCTGACGCTTGTTGACTGTCACTTGAAGGATGATGGGTGAGAGTTGCCTCAAGGTGAGTAGACAAGACAGCATGGTGCAGTGCAGTGCAGTGCAGTGCAGTGCAGTGCAGTGCAGTGCAGTGCAGTGCGGTGAGCTGCAGCATCCAGGCGGGAGAATCACAACAGCACTGTTGTGTACAGCAGCAGCGTTGCATTGGGCAAGCCATGGTAAACGTGCAGTGACAATGGTATGCCCCAACCTCACAATGCTCGTTGCTCAATAATAGATGCACAATGCTCAATGATAACTGATTGATGCTCAATGCTCAATGATAAATGCTCAGTTATAAATGCTTGATGCTCCCTTATAAGCTCACCAACTTCACAGCCTCCAGTCTTCTCTCCTAGCTGTTGCACTCCCTCTTCTCCCCCACCCGCTCCTCCTCCTCCCCCTCCTCCTTCTTCCCCCCCTCCACCTCCTTCTCCTGGTACAAACTCCTTGGTGAATGCCCCACCAGCGCCACCACCAGTGGCACCTCCATCACCGGCAGACCCCATGGCTTCCCCGGCGCAGGAGGATGTGTCAGAGCGACAGTAGACGCTGGTGGGGGATAGGCGAGATATGCCGAAGCAGGGATCCGATGGGC